AACTACTGTTCCCAACCAACAAGAGCTACTGGGAAGAGTGATGGCCGCGTCCGCACATGTTCAGGACATACCGGGGGTATGCCACAGAGTTCGCCGATCATTGAACAATCGTGCACAGCTGTGTATTGAGCAAGGTGGAGGACACTTTGAGCAATTACTGTAGGTAAGCTGTTTCAAGAAACTGATCTTTTTTTTTTGCTGCATCCCTAACGGCATATTTCCGAACAGGGGTTTATAAGGCAAAATTGTTCATTTTGATGCCCTCTACAACCCCTATCATTTTGTCGCAATAATTATGGAACACCCTGTATATACCAGGGCATCGCGGCTGCTATGGGAAGTTTAATCCGATTTTTAAACTGCCTAAAGTCAATAGAACTGGGTCCCCTCAGGTAGATTGTTCCACAATCTCAATACGTTAGGGACAAACGAGCAATCATATCGGCCAGTTCTGGATGTATGAAGATCGATACGGTTAGGACGGGGGGCCGAAGTCATGCGGGTCTGTCTGGCAGGCACATCGTGCGGCTGCCTCATGGAGGAGAGCTCTGAGGAGCAAAGCGCTCTGGCGCAGCGGTAGAAGAGAGCTACATCGCTGACGTCGACGGTGCGAGAGCATTCCGTTACTGTCCGTTAAAGTAGAGTCATCGATCAGTCGGACAGTCCTCTGAACAGTATCGACCGTAGATAATGTAGTCACGGCGGCAGTACCCCAAACATGTGAGCAGTACTCGAGGCTAAGTCTTATCTGGGCCTTGTACAGAGTGACTACTACTACTTAGCCCTAAATAAGTGAGCTAGCTTCTTCCCAGCAGCTGTCATTGACAAATAGAAGAGGTTTAAAGAACTTTTTTTGGGCTAAATGTAATATCTAAGTTTTAAAAGATTGAAATGTCGAATAACCACAGTCTATTAATAATAATAATAATGTAGGACGCCCGAAAAACTGTTCTGGACTTATGTTTTAACAAGAAATAGGGTTTGTGGTATATAAAGCAAAAAAACGTACTTATAATTCTATTATTTAAAATTACATTTATTGAAGCTTTTAAACATATTATCGTGTATAAAATACTTTCTTAGTTATACAGGCAATATCGAAATAGTGACAAGAGCGGTTCTTGATAGTCCTCAACGGTCCACTAGGCGACAAGCTCCAGCTCTGCATATGTCCCGGCGATCGTTGCAACGCATTCTGCACGATTTACAATTTTATCCCTATGAGATAATGATTGTGCAAGAGCTAACGGAAAGTGATTTTGCACAGCGTAGACAGATTTGTGCGAGAATGCTGACCATTTTTGCTGATGATCCTAACGTCGTCATAATGATGATCCATTTAACGGGATATGTAAACAAGCAGAACTGTAGGTATTGGGCGGTCGAAAATCCACGAGAGCTAAACCAACGACCTTTGCATAGTGAAAAATTGACTGCGTGGTACGGAATTAGTAAATTAGGTATCATTGGTCCTTACTTTTTTGAGCAGGAAGAACGAGCAGCAACAGTTACTTCAGCACGTTATGTTTACATGTTACAAAATTTTCTGTTACCCGAACTTCAACGGCAACAAGTAAACATGGGATGGTTGCACAGCTCACACAGCGAGAGCATCAATGGACTCTGTTCGACAAATGTTTCCTGAACATGTGATTTCCCGATTTATCTGCATGTGACTTCTTTTTATGGGGTTACCTTAAAGGCTAAATAAAGTGTACCCTCACAAACCACGTATGTTACAGGAACTGAAAATTGCTATTCATCAAGAACTCACAAGAATACCACAAAAAATGATCCTACGAGTAATGCACAACTTTAAAGAGCGGTTGGAGATGTGCGAGCGCGAAGAAGGGCAACACTTGAGTGACATAATTTACCATAATTAATTTAAAAGTGCACTATTATTACTTTATTTAGCTGTAGTTAAAATAATATTCTCTTAAACATAAAAAATGTTATGCTAACGTGAAAATCATGCGTTTCCTCTGCGCCACCCGGTACAATGAGGAAGATTGAGTGAATGGATTTGATAATAAGCAACAAAAATTCTTAGATCGGATAAAGTGGATAAGGCAAAGTGGATACTGGACCATATTTCTGAATTGATGATATTTAGGAATTAAATTGAATGAAACTGATATTTTGAAATTTTAATTTATGCAAGACAGTTGTAAAATACTGTGTTCTTAGGAGTAAGCTTTGATTGCAACTTGAAAGACAGAGCAAATTGATTCCGTATGTAAGAAGCTTGGAAAAGTTTGCATCTAATACTTACGCTACAGAGGATGTTAAACACCTCAGCATGGATGTCTACTATGCGTGTGTACACTCTGTTGTTTCATATGGCATTACCTCGTGGGGCCAGGCTAGTGAAATCTCTAGAGTGTTTAGTAAAGAATCATTCGCATTACATTTAAAATACGGTCTAGATCCTCTTGCCGTGAGATATTTGTTAAACACAAAATACTTACAGGAGCATGTACACTAATGGACAAAAGTATATAGACAAATATGAATATTTACCTAAACACCTTTAGAAAACGAATTCATACTTCATTGCTCCATAAACAAATGCGTTATTAGTAGAAAAACTAAATTCCTTGTTTTGACATTATCTGCAATGAACACAATTCAAGTCTGAATATAAGCACTTTTTTATGAGGGACAAACATATGTAGACAAATTCCTTTCAACATTAGTTTAGTACAGTTTCGTGTCAGAAGAGGATTAGTTTATGTTCATCAATGGAATAAGTTGAGTGATTTTAAGATCCTGCCGCGTGGTCCATAAATGTATTTTGATGTGAAAACTAAGATCATTGAGTTATACAAAGAAGGTCAACGTCAAGTCGACATTGCCAAAAATTTGAAGCTGAAGCGTAAAGCAGCTTGGGCAATATTGAACAAATATAAACAAAAAGGTATCTTGGAAGCCTTTAAGAGAAGAGGTCGGCCTAGAAAACTAAAGGCTAGATCAGTTAGGTTAATAAAAGTAATTTTGTCCAAAGATCCGTTTAAAACCCCAAGACAAATAAAAGCCGAAATCGAGACAAAAGGAATTGTCTGCTTCTACGAAAACTATAAGTAGAAGATTAAATGATTTGAAGTTATTTGCACGTCGCCCGAGTAAGAAGCCGCTAATCTCGAGGAAAAACCGTAAGGACCGATTACAATTTGCACGGTTGCACCTTGATTGGAACATCTGTAACTGGAAGAGGGTATGTTTCAGTGACGAATCCAAGTTCAGTATGTTTGGATCAGATGGTGTTCATTATGTTAGACGTCCTAGTGGACAAAGATTGAACCCAAGTACACTTTGCCCACTGTCTAACATGGAGGCGGCTCTGTTATGGTTTGGGGGTGCTTTTCGGGGTTTGGGATGGTACCTTTACATAGAATAGATGGCATTATGGATAAGTTTGTATACACAGACATACTAAAGCATGTCATGTTACCCTATATGGAAGACAATATGCCCTTAAGATCAATCTTCCAGCAAGATAATGACCCGAAGCACACTTCAAATCTCGCAAAGAGATTATTTCTGGATGAAAAAATACCAGTTCTCAAATGGTCTTCACAGTCTCCCGATATAAACTCTATTGAAAATCAATGGGATTACTTAGATAAGCAAATACGTGATAAAAATTATTCAAACAAGGATGAACTTGTTGCCACTTTAGAGCAAAAGTCTAGACAGATTGATGAATCTTATATCAAGAAACTTCTACAATCGATGCAGAGACGATGCCAGGCGGTGATTGATAATAATGGTTATGCTACAAAATATTAACACAAACATGGGTGGTTTTCTATAATTCAATGAACTTTGCTCCTTTTTTCTATAATTGTTTGGCTATGTCTATATATTTTTATCCTTCATAGTTCCAGTTTTTTCAATTAATTTTTTAGTGAATGGAGTCTAATGAATTTATTTATGTATAAGTGAGTATTATGCTATAACGAATTATGTATACAGGTTGATGTATTAATAAAACAAGTTAAAAAAGAAATACAGCACAATATTAATTTGTCTATATACTTTTGTCCATTACTGTATGTATCTTTTTAAACTCTCAACATATATGTTTCAGGAGAGAAAATATTATCTTAAGCATACTGACCTAATAAATAAATACAGTTAGGCCAGTGTCTCATACATTTCATTCAAAATCTTGAAAACGTAAACTCCATAGGACTTTTCAAAAGACGTTTGCGGAACCAGCGATCGGATTGCTCTTTTTATGACTTGGGTGAATTTGTCACATTACACAATGCTTCTGATAGATCTTAATAAATAGTTTATTGGCATGTGTGTATGTATCATATTGTTTTTCTTGTTCCTATTGTTGTTTGTATTGTACTTCATTTTATCTATATTTTAATCTCGATACACTGACTTATCCAATGTCTACAATGTAGATCTAACTGGACCAACAAATGAATCTAACTCTGAGTTGAAAAAAATGTCCGTTTTGCAGAATGTCTATAATTTGCATCTCGAATAATATAGGTACTGACATACATGACTAAGTTAGTGAAGTTAGAAGCCCTAAGAATATAATCTATTTTTGAGTCTACGCCTATGTTTTAGTGTTAATTGTAGATACCCACGCTAGTCAAATAAAATAACTGACGCCTTGTAAATTGGATATACAAGCTGTAATCCTGATGTTTCAAAAGATCTACCGAATTACGGGGGCGTGTCAGATATATTTTCGTACCAATATTTGGGTCACAGGTGCAGGTGTAAGAAAATTCCAAAATTGTGTATTTAGGATTTTATAAGTAAAATAAAGTTCACACTTTCATTGAAGGTCATCTGAAAGATCAATGATATGGCCTACTGGATCTCCGGATTTAAACCCCCAAGAAAATTTCCTATGCGGTCATTCACATAGAATCCAGAGTTATTCAGTGTACACTAGTACATTGAAAAAATGGCGTCAAGTAGGTTGACTCTGCACTTCCCTCGCAACGCACTTACTAGTACATAAAGGAATATGTTCAGCACAAACTAGGCCCTTTGAGAAAAAAGTCAGTCAAATAGGTCCATACAATTAGTCCTGCCCTACCGGTAATGCATCTGGCAACGTCGGTTCTCCCCGATACCTAACTCAAGTAGATTTGGCACCGTGGGCGTGGTAGTGGGGCCAAAGCATATAAAACACTATACTATTGCTCGGCAGAAATACTTGTAACTCCATAACAGAACAGTCATTACGGTCGGTGCACGAGGCCAGCAGCCGCCGCGGCCCATAGGTAAGCGATCCGTCCCCCGAGAATATTTTTTCAGGGCTAATTTACAGAGTAATATATGATGTGTAAAATATGTCTAATGGGTGTGTAGAATTACCACTGTTGGGAGCGTGTAAATGTACCAGCATCAAAAAATTGAGATAAACTCATCCACACCACTTCACAACCCCCACCCCCAAGTTTTTTTACTTCAAATTTTGGTCAGAAATGATCAGAATCCTCTGAAACGTCATAAAACTAGGTTTGAGCGATCTTATTTTTTTCGTTTTAGGTCTGCATTGATTTTCAAAAACATTAGTGACATGGTTTTTCGAGTTGTACATGTCATATAACATCCAAAAAATATGCCGCATCTTCGAAATTTTTTGCGATTATAATACTAGGCGTGGGAAGTAAAATAGGATAATTGCCGAATATTAGGTACTAAATAAGAAACTGTTATGGACTATTTCAAAGAGTTTGGTGATCTAGATTTAGGAGGAGGTTGGACAGTTTTGTAAATTAAGATTAAATTTGAATTCTTGCTTTGGAAACACTATATGTTGGCTTCCCCTCGTTTACTATCTTGCAAATGATGACCTGATGACATATTTAAAATGTATCCCAGACGTCTGTCTGTAGCTTGAGAAATCTCAAGGAATGTTTCAGCCGTATAATGTTACAAGATGTTTTATATAAACTTTTGAATCATTAATTTTTCATCGTTCTTTTTCTATTTACACTTGAACAATGTCTCCAAGATGATACGTTGATTTTGTTTGTAATTCGCTACTGTCTACATTATATATTTCTAAAGATTGAATCGGTCTTTTCAAATACGATTAAACTCATAGGTTCAACATACTTTTTTCCCTGAAAACGTATATTCTTTCCTCTTCATGTAATAAGTACGTAAAATACGGTCACTGCATAAAGAATAACGTAAGTCATAGGATCGAAATATCTGGGATAAACAGCATTGTCTTAAGAAAATTATTGTAAATAATCTATTTCAGCTACATATTTAGAATCCACTTTTGCCTATATTTTAATTTTGTATTCGACTAATGGTGATGTCAACATCTCTTATATTATTCGTTTTTGAAGATAAATTATTCTAACCCGACAAATATGTCAAATCCTATTTATACGAATAATAAACGTTGCAATTATTTATTAGTTTATTTCATACGCACGCTGATTTCTCTATAAAGAAATACCACGGTTAACACCTACCTAAGCATAGATTGTAGGAATTTATTTTTTAATGATTAACTGTTATAATGGGTTTCTATTATTATACGAGCTAGTTTGCATCAACATACAATTAGGAAAAATATTATTTATTTGCAAAATTGATTAAATTTGAATACAGTTGTTTAATTATCGGGTAAACAGAATATTTATTTGGAATGCGAGAAATCTTGGATTTTATGATAAAGATTATCGTAACTGTTTTATTGGTTTTGAACTCAATTGATACTCTATTTTCCAGAAATGAAGTCAGTTATAGAAAAGTACTATGCGAGGTCAGAGGAAGATGAGACCAGGTGGAGAGTATCTTATACCTATAAATAATTATGACGTATCCAAAAGTAAAATAAAGTGTCTCAAAAATTTCAGTACATAAAAATTTTGGAATTTTTAGGATTCCAGGAAACGAAAAATATTTATAAGAAGAAGTGGACCCACGGACTACAGTGATCGATTACTCATAAAGATGATGCAGTTATGAAAATTTGAGGTCATAGCATTTTAGCTAATATATGCTTCCGAAGTAGATATCAATTTGCTTATTTTAAATTGAACATCCTGTATGTTATTCAATTCTGATTCACGCGGGTGTTTGTCAGGGATCGGTCTTGGCTCTGTCGTTCCTCTGTACTGTACAGTCAATCCAATCCACAGCTTTGCCGCACTCTACTTGCAGGAATTCAGAGTTCTGCTGGTGAGCTGAAGGAAAGAAGACTAGCAGTGACTTCCTGTTTGACGAGAGACCTAGAGGTTATCACTGCTTGGGAACGCAACAGTCTGGTACAGTTTATTGCTTCCAAAACACAGTACTGTACCTTAACGAACAAGAAGCCTCCTAGCATTTATCCGGTTTCAATGGTTGTCCGATTTCTGGCAGAGAGTCGTTCATTTCGGCTGGTCGTAGTACATATCACCCAGGACTTGATCTGGCACGATCACTTCTCGTCAGTAGCGGCAGCTGCTGGGAAAAAGCTAGGCTATTTGTTTAGGTCTTCTGGACCTTCTCGCTCAGTACAAGACCCAGATAAAACCGAGCCTCGTGTGTTGCTCACATGTTTGGGGTGCTGCCGCCCTGACTACATTATCCTCGATGCTGTTCAGAGGAGGGCTGTCCGACTGATCGATAACTCTTCTTTAACGGCCGAAGTCGGCGGGTCTGCCTGGCAGGTACATCGCGCTGCGGTATAATGGAGGAGAGCTTGAGGAGCAAAGTCCATTGGCGTAGCGGTAGAAGAGAGCTAGATCGACCACGGTCCGTCGGTGCAAAAGAGTCCCGAGACTGTTCGTTAGAGAAGAGTCTTCGATCTGCCGCTATTGACGAGATGTGTTCAAGGTAGATCAAATCCTCGATGATGTGGACTCGGACTTGGTAGAACTCGGCCATTCATCGAAACCGAATGAGCGCTAGCGCGCTTCTGTTAGTCAAGGTACAGTACTGTGTTTTAGAAGCACTAAACTGTACTAGATTATTGCGCCCCAAACAGTGATAACCTTTAGATCTCTTGTCAGTGAGAGTAAGTGCAGAGTGCTCTCATCAGCAAAGCTGTGGATCGGATTGATCGACCAGAAAAGTTGATATGTAAGAGGAACAATGTCGGAGCCAAGACCGATGCCTGGGGAACACCCGCGTTAACATTGCGGGATGAAGAGGAAAACCCGTAAATTACGACGGATATCTTAGGGCCAGAGAGAAAGTCACCCACCCATGTGCAAAGCCTCTCTTTGAGGCCATCGGATGGAGGCTTGCATAAGAGGGCAGCATGTCACAGCTGGTCGAACGCTTTCGTGATATCAAGGGTAAAGATATGAGCCTCACCATAAAACTGGATGAGTTTACTCCACAGTTGTATGGTGAAAACTAGGAGGTCTCCCGTGGATCGTTACTGCCGGAAATTGCCCTAAAAAGTATCTGCTACAGCTTCTTGCATCACTATTAGTACATAACTTATAGCCCTTAGATGGTCAATTAATCATTAATGTTCCACCCTTGTGTAACCCGGATAAAAGATCGAATGACCAATCTTTGCAATGTATCTGAAAATTAGTAATCATCATTAGCCGCATAGTAAACAACCTCCTAATTATAACGTATTCTCGCAGCAAGCCATGATCAATATGCACAAATATGCATAAATATATATACATGTCGATGATGAATTAGCGTTCGCGCACAACACACCCATTAGTGAATCAAGAATCAAGGAGGGCTTTGGATTAATAGAGTAGACCGCTCGACGCTTGCTGTTCTACAATATTTTTATTGACATGACGTAATCGCTTATTCTGTTGAGAATATTCATGTTCTGAGAAGATTGTTCATTTAGCGATGTACTCCCACACTACTGCAATTGATGTCTTTATATTTTAATTAGAGTGCAAATAGAAAGTAAGAAGATGATTGTTACAATAGTGCTTTAAATATCGACGAATTTGGACTAGGTAGATGGAGCTAGCATGCGATTTGTTTTAAACCAGGATTACGTATTCAGAAGTCAGGATGCAAGTTCAAGTCCATATAAGTCGACCAGGCTCAGCATACCAGTTTGGCAGTTGTTGACATTTCCCATTGAATTCGCATTTACCTTCGGTGGATTGCAAAAAGCAGTTTTAGCGTAATAAAAGTAGATCTTTTTAATAATCAGTGTTGATTGGCGTTGCGAAAGGACGTGTACATCAAACTGCACTGTTAAGTAATTTATTTCATTCCACTTCCTGTTTGATTGAGTGGTCAGTCCCAATGTTAAAGTTTGTTAACAAAATTTTATGCTACCTAACAACACTGGAAGATGGCAAAATATTGGAGACATGCCAAAATTTTTGATGGACACTGGCAACGGAACAACCGAAACTTTTAAGTCTTATCTACGTTCATTTTGAATCTTAAGTTCTTAAGAAATGCCTTTACGTTCGATAATAATTTCAAGTTTACTCATTTCAGTGCCACGAGATCCAATTGAGGAAGCTCAGTAGGCCCCAAAAGATCTACGAATAAAAAATTAAAATACTTTCAAATATTTTTATAGAATAAATATAGTGTTAATGATATCAGCAGTAATTTCCATATTATCTTCAACTAGGTATCTGCTTTTAGCGAGAATCTTTTCGGATCACAATTGGGTTGCCAACTTTTTTTCCAAGAAATAAAGTATCTTTTGGTCTGAGGAGGAAAATACATCATATTTCTTAGAGTTTCTCACAGAACATATCAATATATCGTCATTTTGGAAGGCTTCGTAAGCCTCACTTGAATTAAAATTTAAGTTAAAATAAATAAAGTGCTGATGATTTTTGTATCAAATTTGATGAAGCTCTATTTCTGTCATTCCGCCACTTTGCATTCATCACCGAAAAAACTCTGAGGTAGCGGGAACAGAAAGTAGATATGAAACAATTTTAGTAATATCATTAAATACTTCTGAGGTGTTTATTTACAGATGTCTCCACGTTTGACCAGAACTCATTTCGAGAAAAGCTTGTTCCTTAGATACTGTTTCATAGACTTCTTTGAACTTTGTTAATTCTGCCATGATCTTTTCAAGCAATGGAGGTGGAGATGATAGAGGAATGGTTGTGGGAAATGAGCCGCCAGCTGCCCAGCCATATGATGGGCACTCACCCATTCTCGTTTTCTTTTCAGATTCTTCCATGGATGCTGAAAACACTTTTTTATACTTTATTTTAATTCAACAGCAAAAAGTATAACTGTTTGAAAAACAGTCTAATACCAACTGGTAACCCTAATCACAAGTATTTAGAAAAATACTGTAGGTTGCAAACTAGGTGTCCACTATTTCTAATATCAGGTATTCCGGGAGCGCTGCTGTTTGTCGAGGACAAATTTTTGTATTAATCATGAATTAAGTCAGAATATTCATATGTTGTATCGTTCATAAATATTTTGCTTTCATTTCTTTGCCTTATTTAATTTATCCCCGCATGCCATGACACCTAGGATCTTTAAGGAACATGTACATTTTATGTACCTCTGCCCCATGAGATGCACATTTATCTGGCTACATTTTATGTACCAGGACCCCTAAAAGAGTTGTTAGATCTCAGTGATCCAGTTAAAGTCACATCTAACTCTTTTTAAAAACTATTTATCTTCATTGTTATATTTTTATATTATAGATAATATCCAGCTTATAGGCATGAATGAAGTAGAAAAAGCATTTGAGAAGAGGAGAACGAGCATTCATATTCTTTTGGACAAAGATATTTGATTAAAACTTCACTGACGTTCGTATTCTAAATTTCTATTTTTAAACTTCATGTATGTCTAGTCTGTCAGCATCACGCCTGTACATTTGCTAATTGATGCCGATGAAGGTTATGGGCACGGTACAGGGCGGCCTGCCATCACTCCCCACTCACCTTGCGCCCATCAAGGGATATGGACGTTTCATGGTGCATCTCTCATCCGCGACTTCGTACGCTTTGCAAATTTTCGATCACGTTTTGTATCTTTGATGACATTAGTAAATTGACAGCCTACTTGCCTGCTTTATTAGTGGCGCCACCTACAATATGCGTAAGTTTTCCATACCTTATTTCAGGAGATATCTGTTAACTCTTGCACATAGTAATCAATCATCTAAAAAATAAAAATTGGAGTGTTTTCAATGATAAGAGGATTAAAGAATTACATATTGACATTACTCATATTTACTGTAAAATTTGACTCATAAGAAAACGAGTAATCTCTTAGTATTGCAAAATAGTTTCCGACAGAGGAGTGTTTCTTAAATTAGGGAAGGGGTCTTAAAGTTCGAAATTTTATTAAACTCAGGTATTTGGGGGGGTCGCACCCCCAGGACACCACCCTGGCTCTACCTCTAAATGGAACTGCCGAGTGATTAACTGTTCACATATTCTCAATGCCAGCAACAGAGAAGCGCCAAAAAGGAATGGAAGATCCAGCCCCATCTATGATACAGTATCAGAACCAAACATTCTAACTCTTTTCAAAGTAGATCTCAAAGTTTTGCTACTGTGTCTTAGATAGCGCAAGTGTCTTTCAGATCCCTCTTTGTGTGTCGGAATATGGTCGGCTATTTTCAGGTAGAATACGTTAATCGATTGTATTGCTAAGCAACATGTCTATTAAGAAACACGAACTAATAATAACTACACTCGAAATTTAAAACTGTTAAGCGTTTAAAATAGTCAACACAAATCCAAGTGCAAGAATCCGCACCACCCATCTTGTGCAATAACTAACGCTAGGAGTGTACCAATTTTTGCGTGTGTCTGATAAATTGGCACGTACATTGCAGATTGTATAAGTGATATTTTCCAAATTGCACATATTAAATGCGTATAAAAAATAATGAGTAACACTTTGAATACATTAATCTTTACAATTTACGAGATCTGCCAGTGGTCATGTCATTATCCATATGAACATAAATGCCAACATCGCTTGGGGCGATCATTTTATGATTTTGTATTAAAATTAATTTTATATCACAGTAGTAAATTGAATTCTTAATCACCGATGCCAAATTAGAAAATATAAGCCGGATCAAAAACTTTCTCCTGTATTAAAACTTGAAACGTGTTTTCCAATATTGTTCCAAGTATTGAGTTAGGTGTTTCTGACTTCCTTCATCTCCAGGATTAAGGCATCCATCGTAACTGAGAAGCTTCTCCTCTATATCC